CCCGAACCCACGGGCTCAGGCAATCCACTCACCTCAGCCTCCCAAAGGTGCGGGATTACAGACTGAGCCACCGAGCCCAGCTAATAGCCTATTTTTTATCTAGGTCGGGTGGAGGCGTTTCCAGGGACATACAGTCCTTTGTGTATATCTCCTGCTTGTCATGGGGCTTAATAAAGATGGTTGTGTTCCCTTTAGTCCAGCAACAGTTACTAGATCCAAGGACAGTGAAGGGAAAACAAGAAAAAATGTCTACTTTTAAATTTAAACGGCTTTTACATTTCAGAGGTTCCCTCCTTTCACCTACCCTCTTCTGTGGGTCCTCACCTAGGCTAGAGCTGGCCACCATGTCTGCCACATGGTCTTCTGGACCCCCTCTCCTGAATGGTCTTTGCTTTCTTTTATTTCCAGGTTTATCCACCACTGATTGTATTACCCCCAAATGACTGCAATAATAGCTCTCATCCCATATGCTTTCCTAGAATCTTGTTACTCTCTAGGCCAGGCACGGTGTCTCACACCAATAATCCCAGTACTTTGGGAGGCCGAAGGGAGAGAATTGCCCAGGCCCACGGGTTCGAGATTGGCCTGGGCAACTTGGTGAGACCTCATCTCTACAACAAATCAAGAAAAATTAGCCAGGCATGGTGGCACACACCTGTAGTTCCAGCTATTTGGACGGCTGAGGCGGAAGGATCGCCTGAGCCCTGCAGGTCGAGACTGAGGTGACTGTGAGCGTGCCATTGCCCTCTAGCCTGGGCGACAGAGTGAGACTCCAACTCAAAAAAACAAACAAACAAGCAAAAAATAAAATGATTGTAATTTAAGTTACTAAGGTTTAGAGTGGCATGTTATGCAACAATGGATGACTGGAACTTCAATCTTTGACTTTAGCCATTATAGGGAAGAACTTATATTTTCCTGTGGTTTTAAGTTCCACTTCTCTGATGACTAATGAAATTGAGCACTTTTTAATATGCTCTCTGGTCATTTGTGTACTTACTTTAAGTGCCTATTTTGAAGCTTTTTAGCTATTTTGTAATTAAGTTTGTTTGTATTTTTATTGTTGATTTGTAAGACTTCTTTTTTTTTTTTTTTTGAGTTGGAGT